TGACTGTTTGGGGAGAGAACCGCGACTCGTCCTGGAGCTGGAAGCCAAAGTGAGCGCCGCAGCCACTGCTCGTGGCCCTGGGCCGGCTCCACGTGTGCGGGTGCGACGCGCCTGGGCTGCTGGCGAGGCCCCAGCTCCTCCCGCTCAGTGCTGTGGGTCCTGGGCCCACCCACAGCCCGGCCGGCCCACACTCAAATTGGAGCTAGCCGGGCCCCAGGGTCTAGGGTGAGAGGGGCCCCAGAACGAAGGGGCGAGAGCGCCCTGGAGTCTCTCGGCCACGAATGGGGGCCGAAGGTGGTGTACAGAGATAAGGCACTTCTCTCTAAAAGTACGAGGCTCGAAAGACGCAAAGCTTATAAAATCATGACATGTGTGAGTCACACAGATTTAAATGTCTCCTTTACGTACAGAATACGTCTTCCAAGAAGCAGAGCGTCAGAACGTCACGACGGCAAAGAGGGCTCACCTGCACTTGCAGGTGTCCAAACGGCCCTGGCCTGCCTACCGGTCACCCCCAGTCTTCCCAAGCTGACCTCATGGAAGGCAACCAAGCCCTCATCCTGCTCAGGACCGTGATCAGCAAAACCAGGGGAGTGTAACGGAATGAGCTCCAAATTCGGAGTCAAAACCTCCACTCAAAGCCCTGTTGTGTGCCCTTGGGAAAGTCACTTAACCTTTCTGAATCTGTGTCCTCGCACTGTCTGCCTGTTTCTGAGGGTGAGTGGGGTTTACATGAGGAAGTGTGCTAAAGGCTGGCCCGTGCTTGGTGCTTGAGTCAGTCAAGAAATGCACTGGCCGTGCCTGACCTAATGCAGGAGACCTGTCGGCACCGGGCTGGGCACTGTCCAGGGAGGGAGGTGGCAGGTCATGGTGAGGCCAGGCAGACGAGTGGTGCTGGGGTGTCCTAGGAGGGAGGCTGCCCGCCATCCGACTGGGGCTGCCCGTTCCCTTGGACTGAGTTGGTTCATGTCAGGGTCACAAGAAAGTCAGGGTGCCGCGGCGATCCTAGAATTCACCCCATTCTAGTCGCTTCATGCGCAGGTGCAACTCCCAACCCGAAGGGTCTCAGTCCAGGGACACAGACACTCACACACATGTTGTGCACGCACACATGCATATAAACATTCATACACGTGTGTGCAATGTGTTTCACGTGTGTGTCTGCAATATACATCTACATGCATGGACATACTACACGCGTGTACACACACGCGCACGTGGAAACATACGTGTATATGCATGTATGTGCGCACACATGCACATGACATGTATGCACAAAACGTGTGTGGCATACATGCATGCACACGTGTATGCACATACGTGTACACAATGCACACACACAACACACCCTGCACATGCATGTATGCAAATCCACTCACATATACGTGGACACACATATGCATACTTACATGTGCGCGTGCACACATGCACAGTGCACGTCCGTACATACACTCACTTGCACGCACACACACTCCAAGGACTCAACAGGGAGCAACGCTGTGCATGTAAATGAGGCAGAGAAAGAGAATCAAGGACCACCTGCTAACCCCGTCCCCGCCCCACCAGTTCCTCGGTGACCGGAGGCTGTGTTTGGCCAGGAAATGATCGCTCAAGATCAGCAACAGAGAACTGATGGTGACCGGGGTGGGGTGTCCTCTACCCCCAGTTCACCCGGCCCGGGATCCCAGCGCTCCCATGTCCCCAAGGCCTGGCCTCGTCGACACCCTCACCCTCTCACCTCTGCTGGCCCCGCGTCCTGCTCGGGGACCTCCGGGCACAGCTCGCCGCCCCTCATCCGGTGACAGCCCCTCACCCCTCCTGCTCCGCACACTCAGCCGTTGTGGAACAGGACCTAGCTCCCTGCATCTCCCTCGCGGCACCAGCACAGGGGCTCCCGGCAAACCACGCCAACGGATCAGCCAAGGCGAGCAGGAGGCCGCGCACGGGTTTCCGCTCCAGGTCCTTCCGTTTCAGGGTAAAACCTTGTGGTGCCACTTGAAGTTCTGCTTTAAAAACACGATCCTTCATGGTGAAAAAGAGTATGAAAATGAGTAGACGCATGTCTGGTATGGCTGAAGCACTGTGCTGCACCCCAGAACTTGACACAACGTTGTGAATGGACTGCACCTCAACAGAAACATCTTTCTGATAGATTCTGAAGGCAGGCGGTCTCTCCTGCGGGTTACAAGGAGTAAGAAGAATGGCACGCGACAACCTCCTTAGGCTTAGGCTGTCAGTTGAAGACCGTGACTTACTTCTGTCTGTGTTTTGCAGAGTTTCCTGGTGTCTGACACGGTGACCAGCAACGCTGTCCTTTGTGCTGTTCGTTGGTTCATAGTTTGTTTATTACTCGCTTCCTCCGGGCAGGCCCTCCAGGTTTCCTGGTTCTGAGGCCCTTGATGGACGGCCTGACACTGGGGAGCGTCTCTGGGAGCTGATGGCCTCTTGTGTTTCAACCTTAAGAGCGGGAACTAGGGACCCAGTTCTGCCCATGAGGTGTGAGTGGAGGTCTGCTGGTGGGGCTTCCGGGAGATCTGTGCTTTCCTGATACAAAGGGCCAAAGCAGTTCACAGAAGCCTCTGTCTCCTTGCTTTCCCCAGTTGTCACTGGCTGGGACACATGCATGATGCCCGGAGTTCTGCCGCCCTACTGAAACCATGAAGTGATGGACAGGTAGCAGGTGAAAAGCTCGCACTCTAAGGGTGGCAGAGGACTGGGCGCAGGCCATCGCTCCTCCAGATTCGCCGTCCACTCACCTCCGCTCGGCCAGGCGCTGGCCTGTATGGGCAGCATCAGTGCTTTCTTATGCTCTGCCTTCCAGCTGGGTTCATTAGAAGAGGAAGCTGGGAGGCACCAGTGGGAGTGGGGGGAGGGAGGAAGACTGGGCTCATTTCTTGCTCCTCCCTGGTCTTCTGAAGGCCACAGCTGCTTTCCGACTGCCTCCGCCCGCTGCAGCCGTGGCCACGGCTCCCTCCGCATTCTGCTGCCTGCCCCTCCCTCTGCCCCATCAGGCTGGGGGTGGGAACGGCTGCCTGGGATGCTTCTCCAGCCCGTGTTGGCCTCCCTGAACCTTTCCTGTCCTTTGTACAGTAGATCACCCTGTGTTTCTCTCCTCGCCCACCCAGCTGAGGACACCGTCCTTTTTTTTTGGCGGGACCCTGAGAGCAGCTTAGAAGGAAAGAGCTGGGCCCCTGCAGCGTTGTTGAGCCGCTGGACCAATCCTGGACCACCTGCCTGCGGACCTCACATCACGGGGTGAATAAGCAAACCGGAAGGAGCTCTATCACTGGAGGGTGGTTTGCTCACAACTGCCACTGAATTCATTCCCAGCTGATTTACCAACAGGTGAGTAAGACGGAGTTTCTGTGTCCAGGGGGACGGCCCAACAGGGAGAGAAGACGTGTAGATATACTTGTCAGAAATACAGCTGTTTTTATAATAGCCTCACTAGAGAGCTGGACAGCAGGGGCTGATGCCAGCGAGAGGACTGCCCAGAGGAGAGTGTCCCAACGGAGGGGCGCTGCAGGTCGGCAGTGCACGTGAGCACGTGTGGAGACGGAGCTGAGACGCGGGCGACCTCCCCCTCAGCCTTCAGTAAAGTCTCGTCCCTTTAAGCCTGAGTCGGTGGCTCTGGGGAGCATTAGGGGAGGCTGGCAAGTGTGCTGGGGCAGCAGCGGGGTGGCACGGGCTGCAGTGAGAAGCCCTCCTAGGGTGACAAGCCCCAGCCCAGAGAGTTCTTAGAACAGGCGTGTCTTCTTTGGGAGCAGAGACATGTGTGGAGGGAGTCAGACCAAAGGCCGCACCCCTGTGTTCACGAGGGGTCTGCACCGACCAGTTATTTGCCAAGCGAAGGAAATAACGGCCCGGGCTGGACAACCTGGGGGTATTCGGGTCCCTTAGGTAACAGGCGTGGTGGGCTATTTTATTGAAAAAAGGTCTCCCAAACGTATGTTAAAAAAAAGTCAAAACCTCTT